CAATTTACAAAACTTTCTGAATAATGGCTTTCATTCACTTATAGTAGGAATATAGTGAAACAGAACAAAGGGTGAAAAAAGTCCAAACTTGCAGTCAAACTATAGATCTGAAGCATACAGCAGGGGGCTGGGGGAGAATTGCACAAAGGACTATGGTACCCAAGGGACTATGGTGATGTGGTGGTGGGAGGATTTAAGGAGACTATCCCCTGAGGGGGGAAATTAAATATTATACAAAAGTAAATAATGACGTAGGAAAACAAAATTTCATCAATAAAAAAATGGTTTTCTCTGGCATATGGAACTGGATATAAATTAGAGTAGCTGCAAACCCACACATCCTCAGTGGTGCTTTCATATTCACACAATAAGGCAAAAAGAAGCTAGAGAAGTTCTTCCCTGGTAACAAAATCAACAAATGATCAGCATATCTCTTAATTAAAGCCATATTCACAGTGCTGAAAAATTTCTTAGACAAAAGGAAGTTTTATGTCAAACTCAAAGTGGAATGACCTCATCCTCACTTTAGAGACAAATACCTGCCTATCACCACATTTCAACTATATTTTCTTTCTTTTGAAAAAAAACCAAAAACATCTGGAAACCATTATATTTCCCAGATAAATGTGTTCTCCTGCTGTAAACCGCCCCCACAGACCACCTCCCACAAACTGTAAGATGGTAGATGAAAAAAAAAAAGATGGTAGGTGAGCCATATTCAAAACACATTCAATCTAAAGAATATTTTACTTCCATAATATGAGGGCTGCAATGTAATAGCTTGATTTCTCAGAATACTAGAGGATTTACACATATTCACAAACTATTAAAGGGTCTTTTCACTTAAAATTAATTCTAAAGGCATATTTAAATCACTGAATAATCACTCACCTATAGACATAGATCATATCCCTATTTTCTGTTGTTTCCAATTTCTTTTAAATTTATACTGTAAAAAAAGTTGTTGGATGTTCAGCCAAATGTCAAGCTGATATTTATATCTATATAAAAGTTTTCATGTAAAGCAGCTGATTGCCTACCTGTATCTCTGTAGCATCTCTCTTAAGTCTTCTTTTTCTTAATAAATTTGCCATGTGCTGATAAAAAAAAAATGCTTCCACGTAAATAAAATTTTAAAGTAACTTTTTTGGTAGACCTTGGGTCACAACAGTTAGTTGGGAAATGTGATTCTGCTCAAGCAGATAGGCAAAATATTTTATTCATCTGTCTTATGAAATTATCAGCACAAACTTTGGAAGCAGACAGACTCAAGTTTAAGTTCTAGTTCTCCACTCTCTACTTCTGGCAAACTATTTTACTTTTCTGAACAGTTTAATCAGTAATTTAGGGATCATAATAGTACTTTTTCCTCCTCAGTAAAATAGAGATAGTAATAGTGCTTATTTTATGAAATTGTGATGATAATAAAATGGACTTAGAAAATGTCTAGAACATAATTATCAAATGATATTATCACCATTGTTGTTAGTGGCTCTAAGAGAGATAATGAAAAGTCAACGTTTTAGATGTCATTTGTACAAGTAGAGCTTTGGACTTTAAAAAAAAATCCTAAAATAAATTTTAAAAATCATAAAAATTAAAAGTTATGTTCAGAATTTTAGAAAATTGGGCTGATAATACTATAAACAGTAGAGTTAAACATGGGGGGGGGGGCTACCCAATTAAGTTATACTTTTTTTTTCCAACAATATACTCCAGCAAGATGAGTGTTTGGTTTTCAACCTCCACTTTTGAAAATGGAAAACCTTTTCTCTTAAACCGTTGCCTTATGTGGAACCATCATGACTTCTTATAATCAATTCATCTACTATTAAAAGTTCTCTTATTGTAACTCTGGAAGAGTTGAGGAGAATAACAATCTAAGAAATATCACTTCCCTTTGGGACTCAAAGGATCTGAATGATTGCTTTCACAAGCCAACCAGTAATGGAAGTAAGGATCAGTACTCATGAGAATATTTACCTTATCACAGTTAATCACCAACATTAGACAGGTCAAAATAATTCCAACAGCTGTATGATTACAAAAGCAAAGATGTTTTTTGATTTATATTATTTGAATTGCTTTTATAGCATCTTTTCCTTCATTCTACAAACTCATCCACTAAAGAGGGTCAGACATGTAAATTGCCATAATTGTCAGCTATGTTTAACCATTAATACACCAAAGGCAGCAATTCATAACTTCAAATTTTTTTTTTCATTTGGGAATGTAGTTTAAGGTATAACCCTAGGCATGCAGTAACTCAGAAAATAATTAACAAGAAAAGGCTACTGTAAAAATAAATATTAACATGAGAAATAAAGTAACCAATTTACTTAATTTTCTGAGCAAAACAATTCAATAAAACACAAAGCAACCCAAGACATAGTTGGAAAACAGATACAGGAACTGTAATTGAGACCAATTTCCACAGACTTAGCATGGTGCAGAACTAACTTGTTGCCTTGATCTGGAAAACAGCTCAGAACATGCTTATTTTGTGTGTTGGGAGTGAGAGAAGCTCTAAGCTCAACATGTTTCTTGAACTAAATTAGTCATATTCAGACTCAAAACCAAAAATGCCTTAAGTGCAATCATGTTTTGCAATAAAGGGGAAATTCTAGTAAAGTAAGATTTTTAGGGTCAAGTATAAGGCTACTCAGATTAGAGGACTTTATCACTTTCAGTATTGGACTCATGAGAAAACTGAAGAGGAAGTGTTAGGAGATCAGATCTTTAAACTCTTAGCATCAGCTTTTTGATTAAAAAGTTGCAAAAATCACTTTAAATCTTGCTCACACCACTAATTATTTGACATAAAACTATTACCCTACCTTACCAGGGAAATCCCCTTGTCTTCTAGCCTAGTTATTATGTGTATTGGGAACAAAACAAAAATTGCTGTTTTTTTCCTCTCTCATTTTCTTTCTTTTGCTGTCTCTCATTTGGGTTTATGTACATAAACTATGTCTGTTAGCAATAACTTATTTACATACGCGTGTCAGCAGTTACTATGTTCCTTAAGAATCATATTAGGCCTTTGAGCTCATACCTAGTAGGTGGACTTTGAAGATAATAATTATTTGAGTTGCTTATCAGTTGGGAATAATAGTTTTTCTTAAATACTGTTCATTTGGTGACTCAGTTATTTACTTCAATCATGTGCAATTAATGATTGAATCCATTTCAACTGCAAAGGCTTAATAGTCTCTGGCTTAAAGAGGTATATTGCTGTTATTTCCTCAACTAATTCTCTTAAGGAATCTGTCTCTGGCTCAAGTACATGTGTGAAAGACTTAAATAGACCTTAAAGGATTATATGTTTTCATATACCGGAAGACCCTTAAACTCCCTCCCTAGGTTTACTAGAATAAACAACCCTAGTGCCTTTAACTTTTTCTCACACTTCTTTTTTTTTTCAATGTTTATGACAGTCATACAAATTCCTTCCAAATTCTCCACATTCTTCTTTAGATGAGATGCCCAGAATGAAAAATGGAACACTATAAAGGATTGGGTAAATCCTTAATATAGTGAGAGCATTCTTTTGCCACATTCCTATAATGCAACCAACAATTATTCTTATACTTTACAGTTCATTATCATCATCACATTTTAAAATATGAACTCTAAGTGCTTTCTTGATCTACTGTTATTTTTCAAATTACTTTTAAGAGCTTATTTTGATTGTTCTATATAACTCCTCTTGCATTTATTTACCAAAACTGTAGTTTTCCTAGGTGATTTTATTCTCATATTTATTAAGGCAAAAGACTTCCGAAGTGGAGGGTGCACATACTGAAGGTACTCAAGACATTGTACTACAGTTCAGAAAAGAAATATCTCAATGTCTATTTGTTTTATCTGAAAAGGAAAAAAAAATCAAGCTTTATAAGTTACATACATATTGTCATTGGCATGCTCAGACAGGCCTTTGTCAGCTGTATGTATGCTCTCTGAGGTATACTGAGAAGGGTGGGTTTTCCACATAAAGGGAAGCTCCCACTCACCCACCATACTGTACTGCAGCTTTGTGTAGTGTAAAAGGTGATTGATGTGGTGGTTTTGTAAAAATAAATCCTTTCAATAGATTCTATATAACATACTGACATGTGGGTAATCATGGAAACTCTTTTCTATCAAAGGATTCAAGACACTTGAGGTTAAAGCAACACCTGGGCCTCACTGGTTGCGAGGTTAAGTCTCAGCACTATCACCTCTATGGCCTGAGTTGGATCACTTGCGAGGGAGCTAATCCATGTATGGTATAGCAGACCTCCCATCTTGCTCCCTTTTGCAGTGTATTTCAGTAATTCCTCCTAAATTCCAGTGTATTTAGTAATTTAGTGCATCCCCTCGCCCTCTCCCCTTGCACCTCTAACCTATACCCCAGATCTTCTACATAAAAAATAAAGGTGCCCACCCATGTTTATTGCTGCTTTATCCACAATTGGAAAGACATGGAAACAGCCCAAATGCCCAAAAGTGGATGACTGGATTAAAAAGATGTGTTACATATACACAATGGAATAATACTCAGCAACCAAAAAAAAAAAAAAGAAACACACATGCCTTTTGCAGCAACTTGGATAAAGCTGGAAGGGATCATGCTTAGTGAAATAATCCAGAAAGAAAGGGGAAAATACCAGATGGTTTCTCTCATAGCAGGAATATAATGGAACAGGTGAGAAAATAATGACAATGATGACCAGCTATATACCAGAGACATTTTGTGGGCATGGAGTGGGGAAAGGGATCAAAGACAGTGGGAGGGGGGGGGAAATACACTGGACTATGGTGATGGCACATGGGTGATTTGGTGATGGGAAACCCAAGGGGATTGCAACTGAGATGAAAAAATGCAAAAAAAATATGTAAAAATAAACTATTATAAAATTAAAAATAATAAATAAATGTGCCCAACTTAATAAAAAGTTACAGAAATTAGAATTCCCTATGATCTAAGATGGAATCCTATACAAGTTCTCTAAAATAACAAGTAAATGTGGTGGTTTGAGATATTCAAGGCAAGAAACTAAAATCACATGATTTTCTGAGGTCTCTTTTCACTTTTAAATTCTGCAAATAAACAAAATTTAGGCACACAGTTTTTGGAGGAAACTATACACTTTAAACTTTTTTAAAGCAAATAGTATTAACAGTTCAAAAACTATGGATTTGGCATGAAGAGTCTAAATTAGTTACAAAAATCTGTGATAATATAAAATTCAATTTAGAAATAACGTAAGTAACACATCAAAACAACCGGCAATATCTTCATTTGAATTTTAACTGCTGCATACTGATTGGATTAGCCCTCCCACAAAAAACTAATCTAGTTTTTATTTAATAATTTCCTCTGAAAATAGAAAGAAAAATACAATCTAAACAAATTTTAGTAAAGTGCAGTGATTAAGAACATAGCTTTAGAAAAATCAGCTCTGTATTAGAATTTTACTCTTCTCCTTACCAGCTCTTTACCCAGGCACATTTCATAACTCCAAGCTCAGTTTTCTCATTCCAAAAAGCAGTTCCTATTTCGTAGAGTTGTTGTAAGGATTAAATGAGATCATCACATTTAACTAAAAGCACAATACATGGTAACATTTTATGTCAGCATACAGATACATATAAACAAATAAATTACATGTATAATTACATGTATAGAATACATGCCCTTTTATTATACAGATAATGGTGACCTTCCAACAACATCCTAGTTTTGGAACCTTGAAATATGTTATATTACATGGCAAAGAATGAAAGTTTGCAGATGGAATTAAGATTATTATTGAGTAGACTTAATCAGAGGAAGAATATCCTGGATTTTCTGGATATTCTGGGCCCATGGTAAGCACAAGGCCCTTTACAAATGGAAGAGGGAGGCAATAGAGGAGAGTCATAGATAAGCCTGTGTCAGGGAGATGCAATGTTGCTGCCTTTGAAGGTGGGAAAAGGATCCACCAGCCAAGGAATCTAGATTACCTTCTACAGGAAAAGGCAAAGAAATGGATTCACTTCTAAGCCACCCCAACCCCACCCCTGGAAAGAGTGCAATCTTTCCAACACATTAATTTTAGCCCAATAACACCACACCAGTGTTATGCTTCTAAGCCTCCAGAATTAGAATAGATTTGTGGTGTTTTCAGTTTCTATGTCTGTGGTCCTTTATTACAGCAGCAGATGTCAGAAAGACATCAGGAGCTCTACAAAAGGTATAGAGAATTGCCTTTTTTTCCTCCAGCTTTGAAAACCATGTTAGTTCATAATTTTTCTTATTTCTGTTTTCTTTATATAACTACTTGCAAGAGTTTCATTTACAGTGCAAGAAGAATATCCTTTAAGGAATGCAATGGAAGTGCTTGTTGGCTAACAGTTTAATCTTTGTATTCCTTGATGATGGCAGCTGACAATTACAAGAGATAATTTTACTTAAGTAGTATCCAGTTTCTCATGAGCTTTTGTTTGTCTTTAGACACCTGAGAGTATCATACAATTCAGCTGAATTAACAAAATCTGTGACTAAGAGGAGGGACCCTGTGGCTCCAGAGAGTCAAGGACAGACATGTCCACAGGACATAGGCCACACTCACCACAAGCATCCTATGTCTTCTCAACTCTGTCAGAATCACACTATGTATATTATTACCTGTAATCCTCATTGGCATGCCATCATTAACTCCATTTTACAGATAAAGAGATAGGAATTTAAAGAGGGGAAAAGACCATTTGCAGGTCACACAGCAGGAAGATTGACAGAGTGAGTCCATTTGATTAGAATCCCATGATCTTTACAGAGCACATCAGAACCTCCAATGTCACTGATAGTGCCTAGGGAAAGACATCAAGGACTGGATATAGAAGAGTTTACAAATGCAAATGCCTAAACTACATGGGAGGTACCACATATGCTAAATATCAGAAGAGGAGAAAGTGAGATGATAAATGGCAACTGACAACTAGTCTCAGTGAGTGGCAAGTAAGGGTGGATGACATGACCCCCTTTAAAGGGAACAGCTGACAATTGCTACCAGCTGACTGTTACTATGTCAGAGCACAGGTTCAATGTTGCCAGGTAAATTAACTTTTCAATAAAAGCTAGCAAAATACATTGTGAATATACAAATGTCAAATGGCATTATTTCAAAAATATTAGGAACTAATCCAGATTTTATTAAAACACCATTCAAGGGCCCTCCCTGGTGGTGCAAGGGATTAAAGCTTAGCAATATAAAGTTATCCACAGCCACAGCAACAAGAGTTGGATCCCTGGCCAGCGAGGTGACCTGTCTCGCCATCTACTCCCCTCAGCAGTGTACTTCAGTCAGTCTGCCTGTTTTGTTTCTCACTCTGTCTCTGGTGAATCCTTTCACTCTTATACCTCTGTCCTGTACCCCAGTTCTTGTATGCATAAATAAATAAATAAATAAATCTGTAATCAAAACACTTGTTCAAGCAAAGAAACCACATCTATCAAGCAAATTGACTTCAAAGGCTGCACTTTGAGACAAGTAGTATAGACCCTAGGGATCAATACTGATCTAAAGAGTACTCTGTCATCATGCTAAAATGAAAGATACAGAAAAGATACTAGAGCTGCAATGAGCTTTAGTGAAGTAAGTGCTCGAATCTAAGAACAACAGAGACTTATTCTAGGGTACTGAGGCACATCAAAGAAGGGAATACGACTCAACTTTCCCACAGAATCTTCTTAATGAGACTTGTCTAACCATAATTAAAGTGACTTTAAATATATTAAACCACCTTTTATTTCCCCCTTCTTTCTTTTGTTAATATATAAGCTCTTTTGTGCAAAGAGATTATGCTTATTTACCATATTTCTACACTGATCATTGATAACCAGGTTATATTAATTTTCATAGCAAACAGTTTAATATCATGAATCCAATGTTATACATATATATACAAATATTAGCATATTATTTGTAGAGCAGAATGAAATGGTATGACTAGAAATATTTATTCAAAATAGTACAATATCAAAGAAAACAGTTAAAACTTACTCATACACATTTGAAGTACAAAGTTCTGACTTGAGGAACACAGAAATAGCTGCAGGAAACACTAAGGAGTGAGTGAACTGATGCAAGAGATTGCTACTATAGTAGGCATCATCTTCATGATTGTGATTTTTCTCAGCAATCCTGATGTAGCGCTGCAGGAGGCAGACAGCAGGATTGAACCTGGATTGGAAAAGTTCAAGAGAATGATAATGGAACAGAGGGAATGGACCATAAGCAGACCTTCACATTTATATTTGCAGAAAAATGAGGCTACAGGAATGGAGGACCTAGATACAGAGTGATGTTAACAAAACTTACCACACACTTATGCAATCAATATTATTTTTATGCTTTAGACTAAGTCACTAAATAATCATTTTCCAAAAAATTTAAAATATATTTCACAGCAACTTTTATTTTTATTTATTACTTCATGTAAAGAAAAATAAAAGCTATTTATTTATTTGTTCAATCATTCAATTATAGGCCAGAGAAATTCAGAGGGTGAGTGAATTCACCAGAGACAGAATGGGGAGCGCAACAAGCAGTTTTACTGAAACACACTACTAAGATTAGCAGTTGAGATGGCCAAAAAGGTGATAGCAGTGATACTTAACCCTAGGTGACCAGGGAGGCCCTTATAGCAACTTTTAGGTTTACAGTAAAATTGAGTAGAAAGTACAAGAGTGGTACATATTTTAATCAATGAAACTATATTGAAACATCATTATTACCCAAAGTCCATAGTTTATGTTAGGGTTTACTCTTGGTGTGGTGTATTCCATGGGTTTGGACAAATGTAAAATGAGTCATACCATTATAGAATCATACAGAATAGCTTCACTGCCCTAAAAATTCTCTGTGCTTCTTTGGTTCATCCCTCCCTCACTTCTAGGCCCTGGCAACCACTGATATTTTTACTGTTACCATAGTTTTGCCTATTGCAGGTTGTCATCTAGTCGGAATCACATAGAATAAAGCTGGATCACTCTAAAACCACACACAAAAAAAAAAACAAAAAATATAATAGAGATAGAAAAAACAGATCCAAAACAAAAAAGAAAAACACACAAAAAAAAACTGGCAATATGTTCTATGACATCAAAGTTAGAGATGTTTTTGGGAGGCTTGATCCTGATAGTAAAGGAAATACAAGCAAAAATAAGCAACTGGGATTGCCTCAAATTAGAAAGCTTTTTCCACAGTGAAAGGAAATATAAATCAATTAAAAAGATATCTCATCGAGTGGAAGAAGGTATTTACACACTACACAAGTAACAAGGGGTTAATATCCAAGGTAAATTAAAAAATCATACAATTAAAAAATAATGCAATTAATGAGTGGGCAGCTGATCTGAACAGACAGTCCACCAAAGAGGATCTCAGCAAGGCCAAGAGATACATGGAAAACTGTTCATTATCACTTTCAATAGAGAGCTGCAGGTCCAAACCACAATGAGATAGCATACCCTCGTGAGAATGGCATTCATTTCAAAGGCCTTCAACAAGTGCTGGACAGGATGTGGAGAAAGAGGAATCCTATTGCACTACTGTGAAATGTAAACTGTTACAGCCATTTTGGAAAGTTGATCTGGATTTTCCTTATAAAGCTAAAAATGTAAAAACCATATCACCCCACAATCCCACTTGTGAGCTATCCAAAAAAATCTATCCAAAAAATATAAAATCATAAACAAAAAATTATATGCTCTATGATGTTTATTACAGCATTATTGACAATAGCTATGTCATGCAAACAACCTAGGTGCCCTCCAATAGAAGGCTGGCTCAAGAAGATGTGGCATATCCACACAAATGGAATACTACTCAGCCACAAGGAAAAGTAAATGTTGCTATTCACAGAAAAATGGAAGGAGTTTGAAGGAATTAGGTATAATAAAGCAACTCAGAATGACAAAGACAAATATTGGAGTTACATGACAGATTATTCAACATTGAAAAATACAAATAAAAATGAGTGGACAATGATAAATGAAGTGCAGTCTCTGAGATTAAGAGGACGGAACTAGGAGGTCCTCCCTGGTGGCAGAACTGGTTACAGTGCAGCACTATGAAGCTATCTGCAAACACCGTAGCACAGTTTGATACCCCTGCCCAGGGTATGGGGGGGTTAGGGGGATGACCCACGTGGTGCAGCAGTCCTCTCCTGTCCCACCTGCTACTCTCCTCAGCAGTGTATTTCAGTCAATCCTCCTGTTCTGCTCTCCACTCTCTCTGGTGAATCCTCTCACCTCTTGCACCTTTGGCCTG